AGGCATGGCAAGGCAAAGCCAAACCCTAACAAATAGGGTAAGGCAAGGCAAAGAAAGTCAAGAGCAAAGGCAAGGTCAACAAGTATGACCACAGCGGAAACACACCAGCAAAGGCATGAGCAACAATACTAGCACCATAACAGGCAGGAGCAACAAGGCAGAGACATAACAAGCATCATCAAGAGCGACAATAGCGGCAACGGTAACATCAATTGTGGTAGTAGAGGCAACGGCAACGGCAACAGTTCTTCCATATCAACTTTAGCTAATTCACGTAAACACAACTTCTCTTCACTCCTCCTCTCCCCCTGAAGAGAAGAGGTCGTCGGAGTCAAGAAATAAGCTACATCTTCATGGGAATACGTCAAGGTAATGGGGATACGTCAATAAACATATCATTTTCACTCCCCCTCCCCCCTTTAAAGAGGAGGGGAGGAGAGCACTTAAATTGTAAGGAGAACGCAAACACAGGTCACAAGAAAACCTGGCTCTGATACCATGTCAAATTTTCCAGGTTAACGAGCCGAGGGCCCACTACAACAACACCGATACTATCCCCACTTTACCACTTGCACAATCCTCAGGTGTGGGATTTTATCACAAAAGGCCTCGGTGTTATTTAAAGAGGGGTATTTCTATTTAAACTACTTTCTCTTTGGCCCTGGGCCTGTAGTAGTTTTATCTCTCTGTAATATATAGCTCTCTTTTGGGTCTCTTCTCTGTGAGCAAGAATCTGAGACTTTTTCTTGGCTCATCTCTATCTGTGAGTGTGAGGCTTTGGATTGTGAGTTGAGCTATGTAATTCCTAGTACGGTGTGAGTGTGAACTCCTATGTAATCTTCTGTATTTGTCATATTTTGCCATTGTTGTGTTAGGTTTCATATTTGGTCATCTTTTGAAATCCGCTTATGCCGAGCACAACAATATTTTTTGTTTTAATTTGTAGGACTAAAGAGTAACACATCTCGGACTGTCATCATTATTGTCATGCCAATCGTTGTTTCTTTGGTACTAATTATATCCATCGGGATTTGGCTAAGAGTGCGGCAGACAAAAAAAAAGCTTCAAAGTACATTATTTCCAGGTACCTCAAACAAAATGAACACGGTGAACTTTAAGTTACATTTGCTTTGGGGAACCTTATAAAGCATATCGATTTAATTATGTTACAACTAGCTCCTTCACAGACGAAATTAGAAGTGCAGAGTCGTTGCAATTCGATTTTGACACCATTAGAGTTGCCACATATGACTTTTCTGAAGCCAATAAACTAGGACAGGGCGGATTTGGTTCTGTTTACAAGGTAATAATACATCATTATATATATGAATTATGGCCAAAGTAACAATAAGTTTAGCTTCATACATATCTCATGTCCTGTTAAATACAACCTTACATATTCCTTGAATTAATGACAGTCTATTTGTTCTATATTCTCTCAGGGAAGGTTATTTAGTGGAGAAGATATAGCTGTGAAAAGACTCTCTGTAAATTCTGAACAAGGAGATTTAGAATTTCAAAATGAAGTTTTGTTAGTGGCCAAGCTTCAACACCGAAACTTAGTTAGGCTCTTGGGTTTTTGCTTGGAAGGAATTGAACGGCTTCTTATTTATGAGTTTGTCCCTAATGCAAGCCTCGATCGCACCTTATTTGGTATATATGCTTCACAAATTTTAATGTTTATTTGGTATTGGGAATTTTAACCTAAAAATATTAATAATGAAATTTCATTCATGTAACCTTGTTTTTTCATCGATACATAGACCCAATCAAGCGCACAATATTGGATTGGGATAGACGCTACAAAATTATAGAAGGCATTTCTCGAGGGCTCATTTACCTTCACACAGATTCTAGGCTTAGAATTATTCATCGTGATCTTAAAGCAAGTAATATCTTGATCGATGGGGAAATGAACCCCAAGATATCAGATTTTGGCATGGCAAAATTGTTCCCCCTTGATCAAACACAAGGCAGAGCCCACTATTACAAAAAGTGAAAAAGACGACCAAAAAAAGACGACGGTAGAAGAAAAAACCGTCGTTGTATTTAAAAAGACGACGGTAACAAAAAAACCGTCGTGGATAAGTGACTTAAACAACTAAAAAACGGAGGTACTATTGAATATTTTTTTATAACGACGCACACAAATAAAAAAGCGTCGTCTTATTAAAAAGGTTTTCTTCAAAGTTCAAATCTGACCAAAAAACGACGACAGCAGATATGACAAGCGTCGTCTTTTAAAAATCAAGTGTCCTTTTTTTGGTAAAGACATGGTTGTTTTGAAAAAACTGTCATCTATTATATGTAAAGATGACGGTTTTTTTTAAAAAAGGGTTGTCTATTATATGTAAAGATGACGCTTTTTTGTAAAAAATGGTCGTCTATTGTGAAGTAAAGATGACGGTTTTTTTTAAAAAAAAGGGTCTTCTATTATATGTAAAGATGACGCTTTTTATAAAAAAAACCGTCGTCTATTATATGTAAAGACGATGGTTTTTTTTAAAAAGGGTCGTCTATTATATGTAAAGATGACGGTTTGTTTTTTAAAAGCGTCGTCTTTTAAAACACACTAAAAAATGGCCGCTTAAGTGAATTCGCGCTCGACAAATTTTCAGATTTTCCCCTGTCTCTGAAAACCTTGTCTCTCATTAACAAGCGTCGTCTTTTAAAACACGCTAAAAAAAGGCTACTTAAGTGAATTCGCGCTCGACAAATTTTCAGATTTTCCCCCGTCTCTGAAAACCTTGTCTCTCCCTCCTTGAAACCCTCCTGCACTCTCTAAAACACCCTCATGAAACTCTCTACAAAATCATCAAAAAATCGATATCAATGAAAGAGTTGAGAGATTTTCGCAGATCCATAAGATGTAGAGGGAGGTTCTGTATTTGAGAATCAAAGCTGGTTGAAAGGTTTGATTTGAAAGTCACCTAATCTCTCAATACCCTTCTATATCTTGCTAGTGAATTTTGGATTAGTCTCTTTGCGTTTCTAGTATGTTCTTTGTCTCCCTGATTTCAGATTTTCTGTCTCTCTTGATTTGTCTGGTTTGTTTACATATTTTTTTTTATATTTCTGGTTTCTTTTTAGATTTTCTGATTTGATTATCAGGAGATGAGGAGGAAGCTTGCAGATTTATAACTTTTTCTTTTGCAGGTTTTCTATGTGAGTCGTATGTTTTTTTTGTTGTTGAAAATTTGTTACCTTCTCGTTTCACTATCATTTTATTTATATATTTTTCCTTTTGCAGGTTCTCGATGGTCTTTTTTATGCTCATTTTACAAGTTTTCTATGGAAATATGGCCCAATGGTAAAATTTCTCTTCCACCTAATTTTTTATGTTTATAATCTTAGTTTTTTTTTCTCTCTTTGTCATTTTGATTTATTTACAGA